ATGGGATTTTATTGGGATTTTTAACTGAATTTTTATGGATTTTTTGGGGGTTTTTTAGGGATTTTTGGGTGAATTTTTGGGATTTTTTACGGATTTTTTGGTGATTTTTAATGGATTTTTTGTTGATTTTTTATGGATTTTTGGGTGAATTTTTGGGATTTTTTAGGGATTTTTTGGTGAATTTTTGGGATTTTTTGGTGATTTTTAATGGATTTTTTTGGTGATTTTTTATGGATTTTTTGGTGAATTTTTGGGATTTTTTGGGGATTTTTTATGGATTTTTTGGGGATTTTTTATGGATTTTTTGGGGATTTTTTACAGATTTACTTTGGATTTTTAACTGAATTTTTAGGGATTTTTGGGTGAATTTTTGGGATTTTTTCGGGATTTTTTGGTGAATTTTTGGGATTTTTTGTGATTTTTAATGGATTTTTTGTTGATTTTTAATGGATTTTTTGTTGATTTTTAATGGATTTTTTGGTGATTTTTTATGGATTTTTTGGTGATTTTTTACGGATTTAGTTTGGATTTTTAACTGAATTTTTATGGATTTTTGGGTGATTTTGTAGGGATTTTTTGGTGAATTTTTGGGATTTTTTAGGGATTTTTGAGTGAATTTTGGGGATTTTTTGGTGATTTTTAATGGATTTTTTGGTGATTTTTTACGGATTTTTTGGCGATTTTTTACGGATTTAGTTTGGATTTTTAACTGAGTTTTTATGGATTTTTTGGTGATTTTTATGGATTTTTTGTGGATCTTTTGGTGAATTTGGGGGATTTTTTAGGGATTTTTTTGGTGAATTTTTGGGACTTTTTTGGTGATTTTTAATGGATTTTTCGGTGATTTTTAATGGATTTTTGAGAGATTTTTTTATGGAATTTTTACTGATTTTTTCGTAACTTTTTGGGATTTTTAATGGATTTTTTTATGGATTCTTTTTTCCAGAATTTTCCCAAAATTTTTCCAGAATTTTCCCCAAAAATTTTCCGGAATTTTCCCCAAATTTTCCCAGATTTTTTTCCCAATTTTTCCCGGAATTTCCCCCAAATTTTTCCAGAATTTTCCCCATTTTTCCCCTCCTGGAATTTTTCTGGAATTTCCCTCCTATTTTCCCGGAATTCCCCCCAATTTTTTCTGGAACGTTTCCAGAACTTTCCCCGAATTTTTCCCAATTTTTTTTTTCCAGAATTTTTTCAGAATTTCCCCCAAATTTTCCCCAATTTTCCCCGGATTTTTTTCCCGTATTTTTTTTTTTTCTCTCCTAGATTTTTTCCAGATTTTTTCCAGAATTTTTCCCAATTTTTTCCGGATTTTTTCCAGAATTTTTCCGGATTTTTTCCGGATTTTTTCCCAATTTTTTCCGGATTTTTTCCCAATTTTTTCCGGATTTTTTCCGGATTTTTCCCGGATTTTTCCGGCATTTTCCGTCACCTTTCCGACGGCCGAGAAGAAATCCTCCAGGTCGCGGGGGCGGATGCGGGCGGCGAGCTGCATGCAGAAAACCGTGCGGGCGTCCCGCTCCTCGGGGCTCAGCGAGCCCAGCGGCTCCCTGGGGGC